ATGCTTTTAGTGTCATTTAAACAAAATTTCACCCAGCCCTAGGTCCTGAACATTTTTTCTATATTTTCTTCCAAGAGTTTTATATTTTTGTGTTTAGACAGATGATTTATTTTGAAATAATGTTTGTATAAAGTGTGAGGTTTAGGTTGAAGTATGGTTGAGAGATAGGGCACTAACTGATCCAGCAAACATTTGTGAAAAGATTATTCTTTTTCCACTGAATTTCATATATTTCTTTGCAAAATATCAGTTGGCTATATTTTGTGGGCCTATTTCTGGACTACTCTGCTCCATGGACCTTTGTGTTTATCCTTTTGCCAATAAAGGCTTGTCTTGTTTACTGTAGCCTTATAGTAAGCTTTAAAAATAAATAATGTGATTTTCCCAACTTTATTCTGCTTTTTAAAAATTATTTTAGTTCATCTACTTCCTTTGTCTTTTCTTAAAAATTCTGGAATCAGCTTTGGTAGAATATATACCAAAAATTCCTGCTGGGATTTTGATTAAAACTGTGTTAAATCCATAGACCAATTTGGGTTACATTCATACCTTTACTAAGTTGAGCTTCCCAATCTATGATTATGGTATGTCTCTCTGTTCCTTTCAATATTAGCATTTTGAGGTGTTCAGCATATAGATAATGTACATATTTTGTTAAATTTATACACACAGAGATATAGAAATACCTTTATATAATATTTTTTAAATATTGTAAATAATTTAAAAATGTTGGTGGCTGGGAGTGGTGGCGCATGCCTGTAATCCCAGCACTTTGGGAGGCCGAGGCAGGCAGGTCACAAGGTTGAGAGATCAAAACCATCCTGGCCAACATGATGAACCCCCATCTCTACTAAAAATACAAAAAATTAGCTGGGTGTGGTGGCCCACACCTGTAGACCTAGCTACTTGGGAGGCTGAGTTCAAGAGAATTGCTTGAACTAGGGAGGCGGAGGTTGCAGTGAGCCAAGATTGCGCCACTGCCCTCCAGCCTGGTGACAGAGGGAGACTCTGTCTCGAAAAAAAAAAAAGTTGTTGAGATGGTTTGTTTCTGTGTCCCCACCCAAATTTCATGTCAAATTGTAATTCCCACATTTCTGAGGAGAGAACTTGTGGGAGGAAACTGGATCATGGGGATGAATTTCGCTCATGCTGTTTTCATGATAGTGAGTGAGTTCTCATGAGAGCTAATGGTTTTATGTGTGTCAATTCCCTGCTGGCTTTCTCTCTCCTGCTGCCATGTAAGATGTGCCTTGCTTCCCCTTCACCTGCCATGACTGTAAGTTTCCTGAGGCCTCCCAGCTATGCAGAACTGTGAGTTAATTAAGCCTCTTTTCTTTATAAATTACCTAGTCTCTTTATAGCAGTGTGAAAATGGACTAATACATTTGGTTTTCAACTTTTCATTGCTATTTTGCTGAAAAATGATGGATTTTTATAGACCTTGTATCTTGCAACTTTGTTCAAGCTCATTTATCAGTTCTAGGATTGTGTGTGTGTGTGTGTGTGTGTGTGTGTGTGTGTGTATTCTTTGTGATTTTCTACGTAGACAATCATCGCATTTGCTTGTCAATTCATGTGCCTTTATTTTTCTCTTTATTGCACTTGTTTGAATTTCCAGTAAAATATTGAATAGGAGTGGTGAGGACAGACTTGGTTACTTTTTTTCTTAATCTTAAAGTGAAAGCGTCCAGTTTTCAACAATGAAGCATGAAGTTGGCTATGGGATTTCTCTAGATGCTCTTTAACATGTCAGAGAAGTTTCTTTCTGTTCCTAATTGGCTGGGAATTTTTATTATAAATGAATTGTGAATTTTGTGAAATGATTTTTCTGCATCAGTTGATATTAACATGTGGCTTTTCTTCTTTAGAATCTTAGATTGGTGGGTTACACTGTATGGTTTTCAAACATTAAACCAGTTTTGTATTCATAGGATAAATATCAATTAGTATGGTGTATTTTTCTTTTTACATACTAGGGGATTCAATTTACTATTAATTGGAAGATTTTTCTATCTTATGTACTTGGAGGTATTTGTTCTTGGTTTTCTTTTTTGCTCTGTTTTTGTCTGGTTTTCATGTCAGGGTAATGCTGGCCTCATGAAAAGAATTGGGATGGACCCTTTCTTCTTCTATTTTGGAGAAGATATTACATACAATTGGTATTATTTCTTCTCCATTTAGTAGAGTACACCTTTAAACCCTTTGGATGTGGAAATTTCTTTTTCAGGATTTAAAAATAATAATTCAATTTCTTTAGTAGATATAGGACTATTCAGGTTGCCTATTTTATCTTGGATGAATTTTGATAGTTTACAATTTTTGATGGATTTTATTTTTATTCATTAATTTATTTTGATACAGAGTCTCATTCTATTGCCAGGCTGGAGTGCAGTGGCTCAGCTCACTGCAATCTCTGTTTCCTGGGTTCAAGAGATTCTCCTGCCTCAGCTCCCAAATAGATGGGACTACAAGTGTGCACCACCACACCCAGCTAATTTTTTTTAAAATTTTATTTTTAGTAGAGACGAGGTTTCACCATTTTGGCCCGGATGGTCTTGATCTTTTGACCTCGTGATCTGCCTGCCTCGGCCTCTCAAAGTGCTGGAATTACAGGCATAAGCCACCACTCCTGGCCTATGGATTTCATTTTAAAGTTGCACATTTTACATGCATGAAAGTGCTTGTAGTATTCCCTTATTATCCTTTTAGTATCTGTGGAGTGTGTTGTGGTACTCCCACTTTGTTTCTAATATTGATAACCTGTATTTTTTGTCACTCTTATTAGAAACTTAGCAGTTTTCTTGCTCTTTTAAAAAAAATCACCTTTTGGTTTTATTGGTTTTCTTGTTTGTTTTTATGCTTTTAATTTTGCTGTTTTATTATTATTTTCTTCCTTCTCTTTCTTGGCCTTTTATTTTGTCCTTGTTTTTCTAGTTTGTTAACACAGAAGTAGAGATTATGAATGTGAGATCTTCTCTTCTAAGATATAGATTTAAGTCTATAAGCTTTCTCTCTAACCAGGGCTTTAGCTGCATTCTAAAAATGTTGAAACATTGTATTTTCATCCATTTCAAAGAGCTAATTTCCTTTGAAACTTATTTCTTCACCTAGGGCTTATTCAGAAGTGTGTTGTTTTATTACTAAGTGCTTGAGATTTTTCAGTTGTCTTTATGTTGTTGATTTCTAATTGGATTCTATTGTGGCATAAGAACATACATTAAAAAAATTATTTCAATATAAATTTGTTAAGCTTTGTTTTATGATCCAAGATGTGGCTATTTTGGTTAATGTTGTATCTGTTTTTTTAAGAGAATGTATTTTCTACTGTTATTGGATGTAGTGGTTTTTAAATGTCAATAAAATCCAATTGGCAGATGGTGTTCAGTTCTTTTATCTCCTTGCTGGTTTCCTGCCTATCAGTTCTGTGATGACTGAGAGAGAGGATGGTTGAAATCTCCAACTGTAATTGTAGATAAATTGATTTTTTCTTTTAGTTCTGTCAGTTTTTGCTTCATGTATTTCAAGACTCTGTTGTCTCTTGGTAATTTCACCCTTTATTATATAGAATATCTTTCTTGATCTCTAGACTGGTTTCTCTTTTTTTTGCTTTTAAGTCTATTCTGATATTAATATAGCTCCTACAAGCTGGGCATTATGGCTCAAGCCTGTAATCCCAACACTTTTGGAGACTGAGGTGGGCAGATGGCTTGAGCCTGGGAGTTTGAGACCAGCCTGGGCAACATGGCAGAAGCCCATCTCTACATAAAATACAAAAATTAGCTGGGTTTAATGAGATGTACCTGTAGCTCCAGTTACTGGGGAGCCTGAGGTGGGAGGATCACCTGAGCCCAGGAAAGTGTTGGGGCTGTAGTGAGCTTTGATTGTACTACTGCAATCCAGCCTGACATATAGAATGAGACTGTAATTAAATAAATAAATAAACAAAATACAGCTACTACTGCAAATTTCCATTGATTTGTGTTTGTATCATATATTTTTTTCATCTACAGGTTTTAACCTATCTGTAATATTTGAACTGAGTATTGACTTAAGTAGTTGCATTACTAAGAAAATCTACTCTCATGAACTCTTAATGGTGTATTTTCATCATTTGTATTTAATATAAGTATTGGCATATTTGAATTTATGTCTACATTTTTTTTCTATTTGTTCACTCTGTTTTTGTCCCTGTGTTTCTACTGTTCACTACATTTTTGTGGTCTCTCATTATTTCATTTTGTGATATAGCTAGCCTAAAGTTAGAACCTGTACAATGCCATTTTATAAAGAGACAAAACTGTTTCCATTCTCCTCACAATGACTGCTAACCTTGGCTTCTGTAAACTGCTAATTTACCTTGCAAAATGCAAAGAGAGGTAAAGCTGCATTCCTTCTCTTATCTGTAACTGCCAGAATTGCTGGCCTCTGTTTACCGGTACTGACCAGAGTAAGCACCCCCAGATAACTCCATCCGGGCACCAAGCAACTAAAAAAAAATCTGTGGAGCCCACACCTGCCCAAATAATGTACAAACTAATGTTTATCTTGACCTCTGTAAACCACTTAAGTGGCAATCGGAGTGACAAAAGTCCCCTGGCCCTTGGAATGTCTGGAGCCCCCTCACCCTCCTCTCTGCACAGAAGGTGATTTACAGCCCCGAAATGTCTGAAGACTTTCATTCCCATCTCTTCCCTTCACCCCCACTCCCAAGGTGGTTTTGCGGGTATAAAAAGGTCTTGTCATCCTTCTTACGGGGCCATGGGTTGGAGAGACGTGAGTCCTCCGTGGTCGCCGGCAATAAACCCTGGAATTTGGCATACTTTTGTCTTCATGTTGACTTTCTGTGCTTGGTCTGATACAACAATTTAATCGATGGAAAGATCAAAATTTGGGATATTAGAAATTTTAAAATTTGATGCATTTATCAGATTTGGTTTGGTAGACAAATTTTAGGTAATTACATCAGATAGATAATATTTCTTCTAAATGATTTGGTATTCTTAAAGTAAATAAATACTCAAAAGATCTTCTCCTGTGTCACACAGCTTTACCTGAAAAATGTCATCCAAGAGTCAATCTGTGGGTTTATCTTTGTAGAATATTAAAAAAAAACGTACAAAGTGAGTTAAATCCTCAGATCTAAACAGCTTTCCTATGGGAAAAACATAATTCGATATAATTAATTCATATATAGTTGTTTATTTCTTTAACATGGGAAAAAAGCAAAAACTAAAATTTAGGTATGTCCCATTCCTTAGAAATAAAGATTAAAGCACTACTGAAGTTGGACAATGATAAAATAAACACTCTATCTACTTAAGGATTACTACTTATGAAAGAGAATATAAGCAGGTTTAGAATAGTCAATACTTTTAGGAAATCAATTGTGATAACAAATGAAGATCAATTATATCTAAATCAAGTGAAAGATAAGTACATAGAATGAAATATGTAGGCACTGTAATCTTTTACTTAATTTTGTACAAACTGTGTTTTTTACCTGATTTTTGTAGCACTTTATCAATCTACTACATTTTTCATTTTTAGTAATTAATTTTATTAAATTACTCTTATTTCAATATTTGAGCATTATTTTAACAGGATATTACTTTTCTTTTATAGTTACAATTCTTAAAGATTTACTATATAATTTAAAGTATTAGTCCATTAAGTCTAATAATTTTTTTTCTAATATACTACACCTTCAATTTTAAAATGAAGTTGAAGGGATAAGATTCAGGTATATAGTCACTTCAAAGTAAATAATGTAAAATACATCTAATGATTTGATAAGTATGAAAGTAGGATGTAAGCACGCTTCATCCTTCACTAGGACTTGAGAGTTTATATGGGTCATTTAATAAAATGTATAATTGTATTTTAATTTTTGGCACTGATTTATATAGTAACCAAAGCAAGTAATTTAATGATGAAAATGGCTGATTCAATTCCTAACCTGCTGTCACCATGCTATAAAATTCTAGTTGGCAAGCTCATACTTTTAGCAAATAACGAATAACTGAATTGCTATTATGATAACTAAAAGCAAAACTTTTGTTAAGTTTAAGCTTGAATAAGATTTGGCATCCCATAAACAGTGGTCCTTGTTCAATGTGATCTTGTCATTAGAATGTAAGTATTCTCTATGTGTCTCCTACTTGACTTTGCTGAGAAAGATACATTTTTTTGAGAATTTTAAATTTTCAGAGTAATCCATCACCAAGATTATTTCCTCTTCAAGCTTTTCATTGGGTATTATTATTAACTATAATTTTCCTTCTTATTTTAATCAAGGCTGAAGAAAAACCTTTGGGCTCTTAAAATTTTACAGAAAACATGAAAAACGAAAGTCATCAAGTGAGTATATGAAAAACAGATGGACCTCACTAGCAATCCCAGAAATGCTTTACTCAGAATGGCAAATGTTTACATAGATAAAACCAAATGTTGTCAAGCACATTGGAAGCACAAACTTTTATGCACTGCTTGTGAGAGCATAAACCATACAGCCAATCTGTAAAGCCACTGGCAGTACTTAGAGCTATGTGAATTTTCAGTGGTCCACTCCAGGTGTCATTTCATTTTTTTGTGGTGCAAAAAATTGGAAGCAATTAAAGTCTGCCACGCAGGAAATAGATAGGCAAATGTGAGTGATAAGTGATAAGTCATCACTTCTTTCAAAGTCTTGGTGACTGGTCACTGTGCATCCATTATTTAGTTCACTTGTAGACAGCAAAACGTGTGGTTATCTTGCCTTACCTTCTGGTGATAAACAAAAGTAGGTAATTAAGGAAGGATTTAATAAAAGTAGGTAATTAAAGGAAGGAACTGACTGACAGATGAAAGCATAGAAAGTGAATGCTGGAAGTGAATTTAGATACGACTGTAAGACAACTGATCATGGGACCATTGGCATAAAAATTTAAAAGCAGGTTACAGTTTTATATGAATGATCGCTCAGTTATGGGCAAAATAGGTAGTCCTCAGTTCGCACAATTCCAAATGTATATGGAATTTACATTTGGTCACTTTCAGTGACCATCATTATGCAGTACTTATGGAGCAGTAAAAAACCGATAAACTAAATGAACATAAAACAACATGCTGATAGCTTAGAAATCAAGTTTTGAGGACAAAAAAGTAAGGAATATGAATATACAAATATGAGAAACACCAAATATTTTCAATGGATATTGTATATATGTGTACTTTGAACCTATGAGAATGAACAGTATATTGAAGAGTGGCAGGAAGTGGGCATAGGAATTGGGACTAAAAGGAAAGAATAAATAAGGAAGAGCTCCTGCAGGAATCAATAATGTCATGCACTGTAGAAAACTTGATCCAACAAAGTAGATCTACTGCTTACCTATGAATCCAAGCATTGAAAACTCAATAAAACACCAATCATTTGAACTAATACTATGTACAAAATCTGTTATTTTTGTAAAGTACATCTCTTTTGCTATGATATCATCTTCTAGCTGAAAAAAAACCAAAAAGACATTAGTACCTTCGACGCTTCCATTAAGCAAGCTATATTAGCTTGAAAATAAGAGATACAATAGAATACACTGAAAAAAATGTTTTTAATAAAGTAACAATTTTATTTTGATTTCAGTTAATTGGAGGTATTCACAGTTAGTTGATTTCCCTTTTTTTTTTTGAGACAGGGTCTCACTCTGTTACCCAGGTTGGAGTGCAGTGGTGTGACTGCAGGCATGTGCCACCATGTCTGGATAATTTTTATGTTATTGGTAGAGATGGGGTTTCATCATGCTGCCCAGGCTGGTTTCAAACTCCTGGGCAACATGGTGGACTCAAGTGATCCTCCTGTGTGGCCTCCCAACTTCTGGGCTCAAGTGAGCCTCCCACCGTGACCTCCCAAAGTGCCAAGATTACAGGCATGAGACACCACACCCTGCCCCATGTTTGATTCTCAGATTAACCAGACAAGAGATTATCTGTTTCTTTCCTGAATACTAAACATTCAATCTAGATCCCTCTATGAAATAGTCTCCTTATCCAAATCCACTTTCATCCTCACAAATACTTCAGTTTCTAGTTTAAGACTGTCTTGGTCCATTTGAGCTGTTATAACAAAATACTATAGGCTGGGTAGTTTATAAACAACATTTGTATTTCACAGTCCTGGAGCCTGGGATGGCCAAGAACAAGGTGCTAGTAGGTGTGTGTCTGCCAAGGGCCTATTCCTCAGAGATGATGGCTTCCACTGTGTCTTCACACAGTAAAAGGGGCTAGCTAGCTCTCTGAGGTCTCTTTTATAAGGGCACTAATCCCATTCATGAGGGTCTGCCTGCATACTCTAATTGCCTCCCACAGGCCCCACCTCCAAATACTATCACCTTGGGGATAAGAATTTTAACATATTGATTTTGGGAGAGAGGCCAGGAGCCTTGGCTCACGCCTGTAGTCCCATCCCTTTGGAATGCTGAGGCAGACAGATTGCTTGAGTCCAGGAGTTCAAGAACAGCCTGGGCAACACGGCCAAACCCTGCCTCTACAAAAACTACAAAAAATTAGTTGGGTGTGGTGGTGTGCACCTGTCCCAGCTACTTGAGGCTTCGGTGAACTGTGATCATGCCACTGCACTCTAACCTGGATGACAGAGCAAGACATTGTCTCAAAAAAAAAAAAACAAAAAAAAAAAAACCAAAAAACAAGAACAAAATTTGGGGAGGCTCTGGGAAGGATGCAACCATTCAGACCATAGCTAAGACGAACTTGCTTAATGCTTGTGATGAAAGGTGCTGTGTTCTATCTCCAGATATTGTGGCTGACAAACTGGTTCCCAGCAAAGAGAAGACAAAAAGAAACTGGGTACTCTCATCCACAGCTCCACAACTAGCTGGTTAGAATAATGATGTAAGCCTAAAAATATCCGCCACAAGAGAGAGGGGGCAATGGAAATGAGATTTCTTTTTTATTTTATATATATTATGCATAACTATAGATTAAGAGGGCCTCATAAGTAATTAAGAAAAACATGACAGTCCTCAGGCACACTACGAGGACACAGAATAGAACTGTGGTTTTTCAAATTGAGAAGAGTACACTGGCTGGATCTTGTGTTTCCAGGACATTGCCCCTAACTGGGAATCAAAAGAGACCTTTCTTTATTCCAGTAAAAGAGAAGACCTTGCTTTAGGCCTTTTCTAACTTTCTCTCTAGTCTACAACTCTCTTTTGCAAATTCTTCTCACAAGTGCATATTGTCTATGTAGTGAGTTCAAATTGCTATTGCTATTTAGAAACATAACATTATTATTTAACAATGTGCAGGGATTTAGAGGGTACAAACTACATATAATTGATTCACTTTTACAAATGCAGTGAGGCACTGAGAACTGTGTTACTCATAAAGCATGAGTAAATGTAGGGTAGCAATGGTAAGTGTATATAATGCCTGACAAATGCTCAAAATGCATTTGCTTAATCTAATAAAATTGTAAGCCAGGAAATCAATGTAGGCACTATAATTTTTTTTTGAGATTTTCTTTTCAGTCTGATTGAGGTAACTATAATTTTCTCTGTAACTCAGCAAGAATATTCATATATAATCAATTTTAAACTTCCTTTGGCATTTGAATACAGCAAGTATTTTCAATTTTCTGAGTGGAGGAACACAATGAAGAAATGAAATTACAAAAGGAAAGGAGGGACTAATATTTTCAAAAATTATATTTATCTATAGATATAATTGGTGTATACTATATACAGATGTACATATATACACACACATGCATACATACATGCACACACATACACACCCCAATTTCCTACCTGTAAATAATACTTGGCCTTTGGTTGAGCATACAGCATCAAAATGCAAAAATCCAATACTTGTTTGATTCGCCAACTAAAGGTAAGCAGTAAGATCTGTTAATATTTGTCATTATTATTTAATTTTTATTTATAAGCATACTTTAGTAATCAAAAAACTCATTTGCAGTTTACTAACAGAGTACTAGTTACATTAAGTAAAATTGAATATGCTTATACTAAAAAGTTTTCCATCTTTATTCAATGGACAGTGTTGGCCATTGCTAAACTAGAATAAGTATAACCCATTTGTTTACATTTTGTTCTAGATAAGTTTTGATCTAGACAATAGTGTTAATATTCTTTCTGATTTTAGGTTTTGTTCAAATGAAAGTATAAAGAAACTTTATTCTTTTTTTTCAATGTCTCTTCTAACAGCTTATTGATTCTATCATCCAAGAGTTTTCTCCACAATTCTTAGGGTTAACTATCTGCTACAGAGCATAAATATTTCTTTTTAGGGGTCTTTAAACCATTTCCCCTAAGTCTTATCTCTTGGTTTACTTGGAAGGGAAAGGTTGCTTTTTCTGTTTTTATTTTGAAAGCAGTCTCCACAAGCCTCTGGAACTCTTCATGGTCCTCTTGAAGAAACCCAGTGTAACTCCCTTCACAAGCTGACTCTATGTTTGGCCTCTGATGAAATATGTGAGCACACATTGCCTTAACTCTCCCAATCCTAGGTAATGGAGAAATTATATGAATTGCTACTCTCCAGCTGTTTTTTTTGAGCCCAAATTTGAGGCAATTTGAACTCTAGGGAGTGAAATATTTTTAATAATAACTGAAGAGAATTAAAGAGAGAATTATAGAAAAAATTGTGGATAGAAGACAGGACTAACGTGCAGCTCCTGCTTGGCGAGGGAGAACAGTGCCTGGAGACTCACTTTTGCTCCAAGAAACACTACAGAAACATACCAGGAAAACCTAAAGAATTCATAGACCCTTTGAAAGAACCAGTTTGCCACTGCAAACTCCATGAGACAGACCAAAAACTGAGAGTTCTCAAAGTATAAGGGGCAGTATTTGGCCTCGATACACACGTCCCCACTGGAGAACCTGAGAATCCAAATCACAGGAGAAGGATTTAACCTTACCTACAGTCGAAATGAATTTAGGGAGCCAAGTGAAATATAAAAGTAGAAGAAGCAGCAGGAAGAGCCCCAGAGGCACTCCTGGTCCCCAGCTCAAGCCCAGGGAAGCCATTACCGGCCTTATCTCAGAGTTCTTTGGGGAAGGGAAAGCAGCCAGTGAAACTGGGGAGGGGCCACAGGATAAGGGAAGCTCCTAGCTAAACTTTGTAATAATTTTGACTGAGCACGAATTTTCTTGAGCAGAATCTGGGAGCAGGGTAAATGGGAAGTGCAGATAGGAGCACAGACGCCACTGCTGAAGGTGCAAGCAGGCAGGCAGGGTTGAGGCCTGAGAGCCCTGCTCACTTTTGCAGTTAGGAGGCTTGTAGCCTGGGGCAAGAGCTCAGCCCTGCTCATGGGGCTGCCTGGATATAAACTCACCCAAAGAAACTTTATTCTCATACTAAGCTAGCTAGATACCAGGCCAGGTCCTGAATATATAAAGAGAAGTACCCAAAACCATTCTTGCCCTTCCACATCTCATAACCTCATATGAAAAAAGAAATTAATAAAATTACAATTAGATAAGTGCTATATGAAGATATCAACAATGGTGACTGTCTTATGGTAAGCTTGCAAAGGTGTGGAAAGCGTGAAAGAGCATGCCACTTAGTTTTAGAGCACAGAGAGCTGACAGAAAGAAATTGATAATCACAAGGTTGGCAGAGGCCAGATCATGAAGGATCTTTTATGATATGTGGGAAACTTTGGACTTGATCTAATATGAGAAAATATTCTTCTGGGTACAGCATGAAGAATGGATTGGAAGAGAGGTTAGGTCAGGCTAGGATTAAGGACTCTGTAATGGTGAAGGTCTGAACTAAATCCAAGCCAGTGGAAGGAGAATGAGAGGAATGTTGTGTAGAGAGATTTTAAAACAAACAATGACAGAGATATAAAATGCTGAAGGAAAAACAAGGATCCAGGATGATTCCCAGCTTTGTGATTCTAAAAACTGGGCATAATGTGGACCACTAATTAAAGCAAAGTAAAATGCTTAAGACTCCTAGATTCTAACAAAACATTAATAATTTTAAAACAAAGGAAGGCTAATTGGTTTCCTGAAATAAGGCCTTTTTCTGATTTCTGGCATGTCTTTTTCTTTATTAAGTTTTGAGGGGCCAAATTATTACATTTCCCATAATACCTGCCACAGTATTACCCCAAATTATAATCCTTTGTATGTGTATAGAGCTTTTAATTTTTAAAAGATTCTTTTATGAATATATTTTGTTCTCATAATGACTCTTCCAATTATGCAATATAGACTTCATTATACAGACTAGAAAGTTGGGGAAGCTAAGGAAAAAAACATGAAATTACCTGCTTATGATGACCAGCAAACAGAAGAGCTGGGACTAGAATCCAGCTGTAATGATTTATAATCCTAGACTCTCCCCCTCCTCATTATGCCTTTGCTAATTATTGTCTATAAATGTGAACATAGACCATCAGTGGTGTGCTGGTAAATATTTAACAACTGACTTGGGAATGAAGGGATGGGTATTCTGCTTTGTAACTTTTGCCCATTTCCATGGTGTAAATACTCCTACTGTGGCTCATGCTATGAACTCGATGTTACTATACACAGAGTTGGGAAGTGATGCATATAGTTGAATCTTGCAAGCCAGTAGAAGCCAGCTTCAAAACACCACTGAGTATGAAATAGTTTCTAGTACCAGCTGATTCTAAAACTTTATCAGATGAAGTTAGTTATTTAAGGTTACTATTTTCTAATATGACATACCTGGCTAATTTTTGTGAGTACTCAGCTAAGTGTTTGGTATTTAACATGGTTGAATATAAAAAGGCAGGTATTGAAATGACCTCTAAGGATCCAGACCTCACTTGCCTTTTGAATCTATAAATATAAGTAAATGCAGACTTATAATTGAATATTTAATTTTCCAGAATAACATAAATATTTAAAAATAATTTTCTTGTGCATAGCCACATAATATTTGACTTGAATTATTTTGCATGTTGATACATGATACCTGCATCATAAAACTAGCCAAAGTGTGTTTTTAATAAATTAATAACAGACATATTAAAATACACAATATAAAATTAGTTTCTTATAAAAATTACAGGTACTTTGTCATTTTTAAAGTTTACAGCAAGATGTCTACTCTAACATTTGAAATAGTGAAACTTTTGGGTTGTGATAACACAGTGACTGCAAGACAGCAAGAACATTAGATCATTTTTAAATGCATAAGTTTGAATTTAATAAGAGTCCTACTAAATAGCAGTGTAGCTCCTGAAACTAGATTACCACAGCAAGCAAGGATTTAGTCAGATCTTTGTCCACAACTCACTGGAGAACTAGGTATACTCTTGAGCATCTTTTTAAAAAAAATGTTATTGTTGATAGACCAACAAGGATATCACTATAGCACATAAAATACAATTCATAAAAATTCCAATATAAATCTTGTACCGTAAGGTAAAGGGTGGGAAACCAAGCAGAAAATTTTAAATGGTCTTCCTTCAGAGATAATATGATTTTAAATGAGATTTGAATTTAGGCATTAGATTATTTATTAAAATGTTAAAGGTGCAAGGAAATGTTTATACTACATAAAAAATTTAAAAGATTACAGTTTTATATGCATACTTTCCATCATGTGCAAAATAGGCAGTCCTTGCTTTGTACAATTCTGAACGTATAAATTTCAGTTACTGTGTTTTAGTTAAATAGCACCGGTTTCCCCCAGCAACACTGTAGTCATGATATATTAATTGTGAATAATTTTGTAAAGTACAAACTTCACTGCTAGCTCTTCAGTGCACAAATCACTATATAAATAGCAGATACACATTTGGTGACTGGTCACTGTGCATTTTACTTAGTTATTTACTTGCTGACAGTAAAACATGTGGTTGTCTTGCCTTGCCTCCTGGTGATAAGCCTACATAATATTTTTTAAAAGTAGGTAATCAAAAGAGGGAATTGGCTGACAGATAAAAATGCAGAAAGTGAATGCTGGAAGTGAATTTGGATGTGCTATAAGACAGCTGATCGTGGGAATGTTGACACCTCTATTGTTTGAGAAGCTCTCAGAGAGGCAACAAAGGGAACTTAGTGAAGGTGAACTTAAATGACAAGAAAAATGGTTGTGGTGAAATTACATCACACAGAAAATGATGCTGCTGAAAAACTTCACATTAGAGGAACTCTCAGAAATACTTTATGACATTGAAGACACAAATGATAAAATGCTGAAACTGACCTAAATTTAGAAAGGAGTATAACAATTTACTGAAGCATAGAAAAGACATTTACTCAGTGTTTTAAGTTCTATGATAAGAAAAAGGCAAGCACCATTTAAACTACTCTTGATACATTTTCTAAAAGAAATCAAACACTTTAATACTCAATAATTTTAGACTTTTAAATTACAGTGTAATAAATTAGCTTAACAATATTTTTATTTTTCTATGTATTTATAGTTGACAGAGAGTAATGTTTTAACACATGTTTAAAGGCATGGAAAGAACAATTGTGACATTTTCCCATTGTTTGTTTATATTGCCTTGCATGGTTTCAACTTGCACAATTATTTTATATGGCCCCATGTTATCCTGCAAATCAGGATTGCCTGAGTATGTATAAACACACACAAACACACATGAAAGAAAGCTCATGTTTTATAATTAGGGTGCGTATCATGAGAATGGAGCTGGAGTAGGATATCATGCTATAAAGAATATGGGTTTTAGACCTAGAAAAGTCTCCGTGCCACTTTTGCTTCTTTTACTTCCTAACTTTGAGCAAGTAATTTACTTTCTCTGATCTTTAATTTCCTCATCTGTAAAACTGGGAACTTAAAAACTTTTGGGGCAAAGAACTGTTCAAAATACATGCTGGAATTCTTCACAGCCTCTATACATTAGTAGAAAGGTTTTTGGTCATTTGTTTTGGTGGGTTTGTAAGTGGAAGAGTGAAGGGAATGAAAGTCTTACTGGCTGCCCTCTGATTTTATGATATATCAAATGAAAATATTTTTTAAAAACGAATTCTAATATATTCCTTGAGGAACAGAAAATACTAGTATGGGAAACAAATGGAGAGTCTGGTTGTTCGCTTTCTGGTAAAAGTAACATAATATCTAAATTTTTAAGTGAATTTCTGTAACTTTAAACTATAAGATCTTGTGCAGCAATTTATAATAGTAGAGGTAAATGGAAATAACATCATGTTGCAGCATACTCAATCATCAAAAAGTTTAGATTACAGAGATACACAAATTTTGTTCTCTAGAAAATTCCATCTAAAGTCCAAAAAGCACCAAAGTTAAGTTATAACAATTTCTATTTTGATGATATAATTAACCATTAGTGATAGAAAGAGTCCAGTCTTGGTTTTATTCAATCTGTTTTAAGCAAGATACTTGAAATTTTGTGCATTGACACCTTTCTAAGACTCCCTAAAACTTTTCTAGCTTGTTAGATTGTTTATATACAGCATCAAAAACCTTGACTTAATCATATGGGAACTGCTAGTTTCCAATGACTGGAGAAAATAATATAACTCTAGGTTGTTGCCATTAAAAATGAGTGATTTTACCTTACAGTTATATAATAGTCGAAATCTTACAACTCTATAGTTTTACATAAAGTACATAGTTGTATACAGTCTTATATAAGGTTATATACAAACATAGATGGGTCCTTTAAAAATTATATAGTCTGAATTTAGGACTAATCCAAATAGAGAATAATCTCTCATTTATCATAATGGGAAGACCTAGGAAAAGGGTTTTCTGCATATTCTACTTTCATAAAAAGTAATTTTATTCTAACTCTTTTTTTTTTTGAGACTAAGTTTCGCCCTTGTTGCCAAGGGCCACTGCAACCTCTGCTTTCCAATTTCAAGCGATTCTCCTGCCTCAGCCTCCCAAGTAACTGGAATTATAGGCACTCCCCACCATGCCCGGCTAATTTTTGTATTTTTAGTAGAGATAGGGTTTCACCATGTTGGCCAGGCTGGTCTCCTACTTCTGACTCTGCCCACATTGGCCTCCCAAAGTGCTGGGATTAGAGGCCTGAGCCACTGGGCCTGGCCTTTTTTTCCAACTTTTTATTTTGCATTGGTAACAACAATACAATTGTAATTACATAATCAATATAAATATCACCACTAGAATCACTTTTTGAATCACCTGACATAGTTTTCCAGTATCCTTGATTTTCAATTCCAACTACAGTACAGCAGTTTCTAAAACCAGTGACATTATCTCCAAAAATTCTGTAGCAAATCAGAAGTATTCTTATACATTAGGCAATGTTTTCATTGGAGATCTTTACAAGTAATCACATACTCTAAGTGATTTTCAACAGGCTTACAATGATGCAGTGATATCCCCAGGAATCATTTTATACCTTGACCTTCTTTTAAATTGATTCTATAAGAATACCAAACTAACATAGATTGAGGTCAGTTGGGGATAATTTTTCTTCTCCAAGTAGTAGTTTATTATTCAGACTAAAGCAACCAAGAAAGCATCCTTGACTATGAAAAGATTTTTAAGGATTCAAATTTTTAAGGTAACTTTTTCTCCTGGGGAGACTTTTAGGAAAAAAACTAGATGTATATGGTGTTTCTTTATTTAATCCCTCTCCCTCCACATAAATCACCTATTTCAAGCCTTCACTACCCTAAGTTCCTTCACTGCCAACGAATCCCTCCTTTTCAACATAGGGACCTATCTCCTTCACAGAGAAAAGAGAAATCTTTAGAAAAGGAATTTTAAGGTGATTTCACTGTCTTTTCCCCAACAAATTAATTTTTCTACTCTTTCATCTGCTGTCATCTCCTCTTTGGTCTCGGGCCTGTCTAAAGCTCCCTGCACCTGAGTCTCCTCTCCAGTCCCCTCTCCTCCATTGCCTTGCTTCATCAGTCTCTCTATACTACAGCACAAGTAAAAACTCCAGGTGCGGCTGGGCGCGGTGGCTCAAGCCTGTAATCCCAGCACTTTCGGAGCCTGAGGCAGTCGGATCACGAGATCAAGAGATTGAGACCATCCTGGCCAACATGGTGAAACCCTGTCTCTACTAAAAATGCAAAAATTAGCTGGGTGTGGTGGCATGCACCGGTAGTCCCAGCTACTCAGGAGGCTGAGGCAGGAGAATTGTTTTAATCTGGGAGGCAGAGGTTGCAGTGAGCTGAGATTGTGCCACTGTACTCCAGCCTGGCACCTGGCGACAGAGTGAGACTCTTGTCTCAAAAACAAAACCAAAACCAAAAGAATTCCAGGTGCTTCCACTTCAAAACCTCCCCAATAGGATTTGTCTCCCTCAAGACAGTGTGCTTTGACTTTTCTTCCTATCAGTTGAGCTTACTCAGAATAGTCTATATCCAATTCTTTAAATACATATTATAAAAATTACTAAACATCCACAAAAATAGAAATATAATGAACCCCAAATCAGTTTCCTTCAATAAGCATTAATTTTCTGTCACATTTGTTTCATCTGTGCAGCTGCCCTTTTTTTGCTTAAGCATTAAAATATATATATATATATTGCACTTTAGGTTCTGGGATACATATGCAAAACATGCAGGATTGTTGCATAGGTACACACATGGCAATGTGGTTTGGTGCCTCCATCCCCCCGTCACCTATATCTGGCATTTCTCCCCATGTTATCCCTCCCTGATCTCCCCACCGCCCCCCCGCATTCCCACCCCTATCCCCCACAACAGACCCCAGTGTGTGATGTTCCCCTCCCTGTGTCCATGTGTTCTCACTGTTCAACACCCATCTATGAGTGAGAACATATGGTGTTTGATTTTCTGTTCTTGTGTCAGTTTGCTGAGAATGATGGTTTCCAGATTCATCCATGTCCCTACAAAGGACACAAACACATCGTTTTTTATGGCTGCATAGTATTCCATAGTGTATACGTGCCACATTTTCCTTGTCCGGTCTTATCATTGATGGGCATTTGGGTTGGTTTCAGGTCTTTGCTATTGTAAACAGTGCCACAATGAACATATGTGTGCATGTGTCTTTGTAATAGAACAATTTCTAATCCTTTGGATATATACCCAGTAATGGGATTGCTGGGTCAAATGGAATTTCTATTTCTAGGTCCTTAAGGAATCGCCACACTGTCTTCCACAATGGTTGAACTAATTTACACTCCCACCAACAGTGTAAAAGTGTTCATTTTAAAACAAGTGCTGGATATCATTTTGCCCTTACATTCTTCAGTGTGAATATTAAAAATGACACTTATTTAGATAACCACAATGCCACTATTCACACTTTGCAAAACTATAAATGATTATTTAACATCACATAATACTTAGTCAATTTTCAAATTGTCCCCAATAGGCTAAAAGGTGCCTATTGTGGGGGAGCATGCACTCACACAGGTGCCCAAATAAGGTCACTCATTGTAACTGATTATCCCTTATTTCTTTTCAAAATTTATCATCTAGAGAAGTGACCTTCATTTTCCTTTTTTTCATTTCATTTCCCACCCCCATTCCAGTTTTTAAAGAATCTGGATCAGTTTTCTACAGAATGTCCCACATCTTGATTGTTTTGCCCCAGATCTCGTCCTTTATTTGCTGTGTATCCTGTAAACTGGAATTCAGCTCCTAAGGCTTGATTGCATTCAGGGGTTTGTTTTGTTTTATTTTGTTTAAGTTGAAAGAATAACTCTATAGTTTTTTACTTGGCATCATTTTCGTCGCTGTAAATTCAGCGACCGACCGCGAGCTGCTGGAGGTGCGGTGGGGCCCCCGGGCCCTGGCTTTTCTCACCTCACACTGCACACTGCACCCCTCCGCTCTGCTGTGCGTCCTGTCCTGCCGGGCGCCCTTGCTGGCGGGATACCGGTTGGCCTCTGCCTGCGGGCAGCAGCAAGTGACCAGAGACTGGAAGGCAGTAGAAACCCAGGATGCTCCTCCTCTTTCGGCTCCCGCGGGGGCGGAGGTTCCAGCTGCGGAGGACGCCGACCTCCAGAGCCTCAGATCCCCGGGTTTAACGCTCTCTCCTTCACGCTGCTCTGTCCTCTTTCTTCTCCCTTCTGTGCTCTCAGTCATCTGAAACTTGTTTTGATCATTTCTTTGTGTGAAATTCCCTGTTTCCTCTATTTAAAACGACCAGGAGTTTTCCTTTGCGGACAGTGACCCGCATACCTTCCTCACAGAGTTCCCCTTACCCTCTCACTAAATGACGGGCTTCAAAACTGATTCTCCAGTTCCATTCAATCCACACTTATTAGCTGGAATCGTTTTGACTAGAGCAACCAACTGCCTCAGCCACTAGAGCTATTTGGTGAGGAAAAATAAAACAAAGCAAAACACTTCACTGGCTAAACAAAACAGGAGCCGGATTCAGCCCGAAGGCCACCTTTGCAGCCCTCGTCTGCAGCGCAGCGGGCACATGCCTTAGCATGGCACATAGGCCCTTCGTGAAGTCATCAGTGCATGCCTTGTCTCCCACCGGTCCTTCCGCCTTAGCTCCAAATACCCATTTCCAAAACAGACTTACATTTTCAAAAGTCTAGCATGCTCCTTCTTTGATCTGTCTGTCTTCCCCAGCAATTCTGTTTGTCAGGCATGACCTTTTCCCGTCTGCCTGAAGAATGTCTACTTATCCCTTCAGATTCTGCCCAATTATTACCTTCCTAAGAAAGTCTTTCTTGATATTTGCATGTAGAGTTAAATACTTAAATACTTCTTCGGAGAGCGTCATCCTGGAGACAACAGAAGTCAGCGTCTGTTTCAGGTAACTATAATTTCCTCTGTTAACAGTGGAAATACCCAGTGCAAAAGAAACTGCAGACACAGGAGTATGAAATCATAATTCCAAACCACAGAGAAAAACATAGTTTAACATTCATTCTATGCTTATATCTATGTTTGGGTTAGTCTTATGGTAATAAAATGAGTGTTTGAGAGTGTATTACAAAAATAATCCAAACTATGTTAATTTTTATCAGATATTTCATTTTCTTTTTAAGGAAATTTGCAGTGGATTGTTAGTAAAAGCACTAAATAGACTCCAAGATGTTCTCATGTTAAAACATTTTGGTGTAGCGAAAATAAAACTAACCACTTTCCACTTACTATAGCTTCATCTAACTGGGTATAAAATGTCACATATTGGAGAATCTCTTCTTACCCTAATGAGACATTGGAACCCAAAAGAGGAAAAAATTATTATCAAATATTTTCATCTGTGAAAAATATGTTAAGTAATTTCTAAATGATTTGATGGAGTGAATCCATGCCCCTAAGTAACTTTTGTTGCTCAAGAATGGCTGGAGCACTAGGGCTCCAAGAGGTACACATCTTGGCTCTACGGGTACGGTCAAGATGGAGGGTACCAATCTTAACTATACTAGTACCTGGCTGTATGGGCTTAGGCAAGATACACAACCTCTCCAGCCTTATGTCTCCATCTTTAAGATAGGGATAAGGACTTCTAGAATGGCTAAGTGAGAAACCCAGAAAATCATCTTTCTAGAAAGCAGTAAGAAAACTGAAAAAAAAAAAAAAAAAAAGGCCAGAACAGTAATTTCAGGGCTCAGATAAACTGAGAAGCATTTATTTAAGAAAAGCTTTGGAACTTTGGAGGGAAGAGCAGGAATCAGTGTTTCCATGAGTGCTATTGAGTTTGAACATATTTTCACACGTTTGTTGGCTTTTTTCTTTTTTTGTTGAGATGGAGTCTTACTCTGTCACCAAGGCTGGAGTGCAATGGCACAATCTCAGCTCACTGCAACCTCCACCTCCTGGGTTCAGGCTATTCTCCTGCCTCAGCCTCCCGAATAGCTGGGATTACAGGCATGCACCACCATGCCTGGCTAACTTTTGCATTTTTAGTAGAGACAGAGTTTCACCATATTGGTCGGGCTGGTCTCAAATTCTTGACCTCAAGTGATCCGCTCACCTCAGCCTCCCAAAGTGCTGGGATTACAGGCATGAACCACTGTGCCCAGCTGCTTACTGGCTTTTGGATATTGTTTTGTAAAAGCCTTCTATAAGCTTTTGCCCATTTCTCTAATGAATTTTCTGTATTTTTCTTACTGATTTTATTGATGCTCTTTATATATTCTGAATATGAGCCCCTCATCAGTTATGTGTGTTATTAAATATCATCTCCCACTCTTGGTTCTCAGTTCTTTTTTCAAGATTTTGCCCCTTGATAAAGGGAAATTCTTAATTTTAATGTAGTGCAATTTGTAAACCATTTTCTTTATTGTTTGGGTTTTCTGGGTCTTGTTGAGAAATTTTTGCTTATTTTCAGGTCATAAAGACATTCTCTTGTGTTATTTTCTAGATGGTTTATTGTTTGCCTTTCATATTTAGAGCTGCAATCCACCTGGAATTGATTTTTATGGATAGGGTGAGGCAGGAATCAAGTTTCAAGCTGAAAGATACAGTATAAAGGCAATTCCTCGAATGGCTTCCTATGCCTTACAATGCATTTACAAGAGTTTAAAAGGCCCTTACTGAGCTGGTCCTGATATATCCCTTTGTTTCAAATACCCACGCTTTTCAAATTGACCAAATACTACTCTCACCTCGAAGCCTTTGCATACGCCATTCTTTTTGCCTAGAACAATCTTCTTCCTCTAGTTTCCTTTGATAATTCTACTTATTCCTCAGGGTTCAACTAAATATTAGTCATTCCGATCGCAAATTGATACTTAACCCTTTCTAACTAGGTCGATTTCACCAGCTACACAGTCTTACCTTATCTTTCATAATACTCATCACCCCTTCTGTTGTTACTCATTCCTTTCTAGAATGTCGGTTTGGTAATAGCAGGGACACCTTCACGTGTGCTTACATTATAAATCCAGCACTAATATAAAGACTGACGCATGGTGCTGATAATACGTTGGGGATGGATGGATAAATAAATGGTCAGGCCCCTTCATTATTTGGCCTGTGTCCATGGTCTTGCTACTAATACCCTCCAGCCCCCATTGTGCATGGCAAGATATACATCCTTTCTAGGCTTTCTTGCTGTCAGACTTTTGCACATTTTTTTGCCTCTATCTTGACAACTATCCTCTACTTTCCACTGTCCACCACCTACCTTTTTCCTACTTAGTCTATTCCCGTTGTTCTACCCTTCATGTTACTCATATGACACTTCTTCCAGAAAGCATAGCATAGAATTTTGGCTCCATCCTGGTATTTTCCTTATCACAGCACCAGTCACTTTCTATTATAATTATCTTATCATAACTTTCTATTATAATTACCTTATCATTTGTCTCTATGAAGGTGGGGTCTATGTTATGATTACCCCATATCCCAGGGCCTAAGAAGTGCCCCATAACAGAATAGAAGCTTATTAAATGAGGAGACATGGAGGAATTCACAGAGAAGTTGTCATTTAATCTGAAAAGTCATATTGGATAAGGGAGTCACATTACAAATCAGTTATGGTTTGCCAAAGGGGTATGTTCATTATAGGCAGTGATTAGCACATGCAGAATGTATGAAGCTTGTCCTATCTGTTCTCAAAGAGCTTGGCCTATCAGTGAGAACTGCAAGTGATTTGTGGTTGCTGGAAAGGAGAGGCATGGCAGAGACCGAGATTTGAAAGATTTAGCCTTTTGTGTATATACACTGCCAAGGGGCTAACTTCACCTTATGTGCACTGAGGGTCTGCTGATGAATTTCAAGCAGGAGTCAAGTATGATCAGTGATGAATTTTACTAACATATCTTCGAGGAAAGTATGAAAAATGGATTAACTTTAGCGATACTAAAATCATGAGAGAAATTATAAATATATTTCCATAAACCAGGCAAAAAATGATGAGGGGACTCAACAAAATATAGTTATAGAGGGACTACAGAAAGCAGAAATTATCTGAGACTTATTCATAATACAGAATAAACAAAACTGATGATGGATTCCCCAGTAGGCCTTGTCACCAGCTTCAATCCTCTTACATATGTTTCATGTGTTAAGATTTTTTCAGTTGCCTGGAACAGAATCTTCCTTAAATCACTTCTGGTAATTGAGAAAAGCCACCAAAAAGGCCTCAAAAAATAAATATATTATGATTGGAGATCAGGAGATAGTTGGGGAATTAGAAAATTATTCTGGATTTAACGCAGCTCTGACAACTGGGTTATCTCAATCCTCCAATCCCCTACACAAGGAGGTCTGTTGCTCCTCCCAACCACCAACATGTCTCTCCCTCCTTCTTTCACTCTGTGTCATGGGCTTCTACTTATATTTGTTGATGCTTATGCAAGGCTATGCTTATTCTTGTTATCTAAGATCTGAGAGTTGCTATGCATTGTTTTTCTTACATGTGTCTTTCAAGTTCTCCTCCTCCTACAAACTATAGCTTTTGTCTAGCATGCACGTTCTCATATATTCACACACATGTATGCATGTATATGTGTATACAGGTAAAGAGTTTTCTAAGTATGAACTCAAAAATTTTCTTAATGTCTCTAAGCCTCAGTTTTCTCAGGTGTAAAATAGAGATGACAATAATAGGCCACACTGCATTGGATTGTGAAGATTAAATGAGATAATGTAAGAAAACAGAACTCAGTAAGTGGAGCACAGTCAGAATGTAATAGATAAACGATGTCATCAGAGGCATGTGACACAAAACAATACTACTTATTCCCAGGGAACCGCCAAGAGCAGAGGTCAGCAAACTTTTTTTTTAAAGTAAAGGGACAGATAGCATTTTTGGTTGTTGGGTTACACCACCTCTGTTGCAACTACTCAACTCTGCCATTGGAGCACAAAAGCAGACACAGACAACAAGTAAATGGATAAGCATAACTATGTCTCAACAAAACCACATGTTAAAACATGGAGCCCATGGGCCTGGCCTGGAGTGACTCACTCACTGGACTGAGTGAGGTTTATGGGAATGCCAGGTATCCTGAGACTTAGCTTAATATTCCTGCTTTAAACTACAAAGCGTCTTTTTGTCTTATATACCTGGTGAACCTGAACTCCTTTGTCAAGACTTACCTCAAACATCACCTGTTCTATAAAACCATTGCTGACCTTGGTCTCCAGAAAGACTGGGAAATAGGAAAGTAACCAGTTAAGATTAGATTCGCCAAAACCAAGGAGAAAAGAGTTACCAAACATTTGGCATATGCTTAATGTATATTTGACTTATATTGCTTATTTTCAAAGCATTTGTTTAACACCAAATTTGAATTCAGGTCACCAAATGTTTAGAGAACAATTATTTTCTGCCAGATAGTATACTGAATTCTGGGAATCCAAATTAATGCCAGATAGGTTGGTAGTTTGCATATCAATCTATGACATTAATGGATTACATCTTAAACCTTACAGGTATGTCCCCAAAGATCAAAATATCTGTATTTAATTTTCCTATTCTAAGTTTCTTACCACCAGTTTTTTCCGTTGCTGATGATTACGTTAGGATAAATTCTGCCTTCTTTCCTTAGTTGTGGAAAAAAGAACTTAAAGTCTTCAAATGTATTAGATACTGTTTCACTTTTATTTAATATGTCTGCTTTCTGCACAACTGAAAGAAAAAAAATAATGCTTCTGAGTATATGACTATAGGGATTTTTCTCTCTCTGGAATAATTTTTAAGGGGTATTAATAAACTCATAGATTAATTTAGCATTCAACATATAAAAATACTCTAAAATGTGAATAATCAAAACAATAATGTTAAAAATATAGCTCAGCTATTATTGAATGATATTTATTCATAAAGTAATATTTAATTTAAGCTTAGCATTATCAGCTACACAGAGGACAATAGAAGCATCAGTCCCAAATGAAAGAAGTATAACTGAAACATGCTGTAATTGGTTTACTTTGTTACTCTGATTAATATCACTTTATTAAAATTTGTTTCTTTATAAATGTGCTTTGTAGCCCCTAAAATTTAATGACTATATTTGTAAACTTCATTAGAATTTGCCTCTACAATTTTGAAAAAGAAAACGTTAGAGGTCACACATTACCCAATTTTAATTCATAATACGTAACAATCTAGTCAAAACAGTGTGATATTATATAAAAAATCGATATATAGACAATGAAACAGACTACAGAATACAGAATAGGTTCACAAAAATGTGGTTGGCTGACTTATGACAAAGTTGCAAAGGTAACTGAATGCAGAAAAGACAGTTGATAAAGGTACTTGAACACTTCGACATTAACGACATTCACATGGAAAAAACTGAGCCTTGACCTGTTTTTCATATTGTTTATAAAAATTAGGTAAAAAATATTCATAGACATAAATGTAAAACATAAACTTATGAATTTTTTTTTTAAAAAGAAAGAGAAAACCTTCATGACCCTGAGATAGGTAAAGAGATCTTAGATGAAATATAACAATAAAAAATACATAAAAGAAAAATTCATAAATTGGACTTCATCAGAAATTAAAAATGCTTGCCCCCTGAAAGCATCATAAAGAGAAAGAAAGGGTGTCACCAATTGGAGGAAGGTATTTCCAAATCACATATCCATCTGATATGTATCCAGGATAATGTGTAGAACTCTCTCAAAACTCAGTGAGAAAACAAAATCACTCAATTAAAGAAACTGGCAAGACAGGAGCTTGAGAACAGCCTGAGCAACATAGCAAGACCCTCTGTTCTCTACACACACACACACACACACACACACACACACACACACAGAGTGGGGCATAGTGGCATGCGCCTGTAATCCCAGATGCTCAGGAAGCTGAGGTGGGAGGATCCCTTGAGCTCAGGAGGTGGAGGCTGCAGTGAGCCATGACTGTGTCATTCTATTCCCCATTTGAACAGACATTTCACCAAAGAAGATATCTGGATGGCAAATAGGCACTTAAAAAATGTTCAACATCATTAGTTTCTGGGAAATACAACATAGAGCTATGAGATATCATGACATTAGAATGGCTATAATAGGGTGGGTATGGGCCTATAATTCCAGCACTTTGGGAGGCTGAGATAGGAGACTTGCTTGAGGCCAGGAGTCTGAGATCAGCCTGGGAAACATAGAGAGACCCTCATTTCTACAAAAACAAAATTAGCGAGGTACAGTAGCACATGACTGTAGTCCCAGCTACTTGTGAGGCTGAGAGAGGAGGATTGCCTGTGCCCAGGAGTTGGAGGCTGCAGTAAGCCATGATTGTACCATTGACCTTCAGTTTGGGCAATAGAGCAAGAGCCTGTTTTTTTAAAAAAAAGAAGAATGGCTATAATAAACTGGAGTGACTAAAAGTCTCATATGTTGCTGGAGGGAGTGAAAAAAATGGTACAGCCACTCTGGAAAACAGTATGATTGGTTCTTATAAAGTTAAACATATACTTACCTATACTCTATCAATCCTACTTTTACATATTAATTCTAAAAAAATTAAAACTTCTCTTCACACCAAAATTTAATGGCTGTATTCATGTACACATGCACATGAATGCTTGTAGTAACATCTATTTGTAATTTCTCAAACCTGAAAACATCCCAAATGGCCCTCAATGAGTGAGAGGGTAAACAATATGTCCATTGTACATTGATACAATGAAATGCCTCTCAGCACTAAAAACAGAACAATTGGTCACACGACAATTTGGGTAAATCTATGCTAAGTGATAGAAACAAGTCTCAAAGGGTCACTCATTATTTGATTCCATTTGGATGGCTTCCAGAAAAGGCAAAGCAATAGAAACAGAGATCAGATGGGTGGTTGCCCGGGATTAAGGGTAGGGGGAGGACTGGAGTACAAAGGGGATGCAGAAGGCAGGACTTTTTTTCTGGAGAAATGGAGAGCCACTGAAGGTTTATATAAGAAAGATTAGGTGTAAGTTACTAGTCACCCAGATGAAGCAGGAAGGTTGCCTGACTAGTGTAGCAGAGATGATGATGGAAAATGTGGACAAATTATTGAAATATATAGAATGGTGAATCAACACAATTGGTTATTACTGACATGGAAGTATGCAAGAGGCAGAGGAAGGGGTCAGAGGTGATGCTCAGGTTTCTGGTTACATCTATTAGATGGATTATGGATGGTGGTGCAATTCACAGAGCCAGAAAGCACAGGAAGACTACTTTTGAGGTGGAGATGAGGGGAAGTAGGTCAGTGATGTCTCTTACCTGATTTTTGCATGTCTCACGATAAAGAAGCAGTGCTGATTTAGTGAAGTTTATAGAGAGAAGATGCCCTAAAGACATTGAACCTACTTTTCCAAAAACAAAACCAAACAAACAAACCACAATATACAAAAACAAAATCAACACAAACCTAAGTTTCCTGACATATTTTCTCTCTTTGTAATTTCATACTTCATTCGATTCCAAACTTTCATCCTCTCTTGGCTATTTTTTTCAGTTTTGTTTCTTAAGTGTAGCATATTTTCTTTAAACTCCAAAATATGGTTTCTACAGTTAATTAATTGATTATCTGCAATGAAAACATATGTGTATATATTTGTACATGTAGCAATGGTGTCACACAATTTTCTATAATAAATATATTATATTATATAATTATATATATATACAGTGCTATATACATATAATATGTGCATAGGTACAATTATAAAAGCCCAGAAAGAAAGAACAAAATGTTAAAAATGGTGATATGAGAAAGGTGAGATTATCAATGATTTGTTTGCTTTATTACACTGTGCTCTTCCTTGTTTTCCAAAATTTTTATGGTGTGCATGTATCAGATTTGAGTGTAACCCCATTAATCCCCCAAATGTACTTCAATTACTTGAAGTACAAATGTCAAATTACTTGAAGACAATTATGAGGAATATGTACACAGATTTGGACTAAGGATATTTAACACAGGCAGTAGTATTTAGCATTATTTTTTTTAATTGGAAACAACCAAAGTGCCCAACAGTAGGAAATTTGCTTAATAAATTACAGAATATTCTTATAAGAGTTCTGATGGCTCTAATGTCAAATCATGTATAAGTAAATCCCAGTTTTTCTGCTTAATATTTGTGTTACCTGGGGAAAATTACTTAATTTTTGTTAGCCTCTGCTCCTTCTGGTGTAAATGCACACATAAAAAACCCTGCCTCAGAGCTGTTGTGAAGATGTAATGATGATGGTGCACATAAACTAAAGTTGCAGGATACAAAATCAACAGTAGAGTTTCTATCCACTAATAACAAACTATCCAGGAAAGAAATCCATCAAACCACCCCATTTACAATGGCAACAATAAAATACTTAGGAATAAAGTTAGCCAAGGAGGTGAAAGAACTGTACACTGAAAACTATATAATCTGGGTGAAAGAAATTGAAGAAGACACAAATAAATGGAAAGATATCACATGTTCATGGATTAGAAGAATATTATTAAAACATCGATACTACACAAAGCAATCTACAGATTCGATGCAATCCCTATAACAATTCCAATTACTTTTTCCACAGAAACAGAAAAAGAAACCCTGAAATTCATATGGAACCACAAAAGACCCCAAAAAGCCAAAGCAATCTTGAATGAAAAGAACAAAGCTGAAGGCATCACATTACTTGACTTCAAAATACATTGCAAAGCTATGGCAATCAAATAGCATGGTATTGGCATAATAACAGGCACGTAGACCAGTGGAACAAAATAGGGGACTTAGAAAGAAATTCATACATTTAGAGTAATCTTTGACAAAGTCTCCAAGAATATACACTATGGAAAGGACAGTGTCTTCAATAAAAGGGTTTTGGGGAAACTAGACATCCACATGCAGAAGAATGAAATTAGATCCTTATTTCAACCCATGTATAAAATTAACTAAAAATGGTTGAAAGACTTAAGTGTAAGACCTGAAACTGTAGGATTACTAAAAGAAAACATTAGGAAAAAGCTTCATGACCTTGGTCTGAGCAATGATTTTTCAGATATGACTCCAAAATCATAGACAAAAGCCAAAATAAATAAATGGGATTACATCAAGTTAAACAAGCTTATGCACAGCAAAGTAAACAATTAACAGAGTGAAGAAACAACATGGATTGAAAATATTTCAACCCAGGAGACAATGTATGGGTTGAAATTTCTCCAGTAGAAGAAAATATTTGCAAACCATACATCTGATAAGAGATTAATATCCAAAATATATAAGAAACTCAAACACTCAAGAGCAAAAAAAATGTAAAAAACTGGCAAAAGATTCAAATAGATATTGTCAAAACAAGACATATAAGCGGCCAAGTATATTAAAAAGGGCTTAATACCACTAATCATCAGGGAAATGCAAGTTAAAACAATGAGGCACCACCTCACACCTGTTATAATGGCTATTACCGAAGACCAAAGGTGAGAATATGGAGAGAAAGAAACTCTTGTACATCGTTGGCAGGAATATAAATTAGTGTAGCCATTATGGAACACATTATGGAGGCTCCTTAAAAAATTAAAAATAGGGCCAGGCATGGTGACTCACACCTGTAATCCCAGAACTTTGGGAGGCCGGGGCAGGCGGATCATCTGAGGTCAGGAGTTCGAGACCAGCCTGGTAAACATGGTGAAACCCCGTCTCTACTAAAAATACAAAAAAGAGCTGAGTGTGGTGGTGCACGCCTATAATCCCAGCTACTCAGGAGGCTGAGGCAGGAGAATCACTTGAGCCCAGGAGGCAGGTGTTGCAGTAGGCTGAGATTATGCCACTGCACTCCCAGCCTGGGCAACAAGAGCAAAACTTTGCCTCAAAAAAAAAAAATAAATAAATAAAAATAGAACTACTGCATAATGCAGCAATCCCACTGTTGGGTATGTATTCAAAGGAAATAAAGTCAGCATGTTGGCTGGATGTGATGGCTTACACCTGTAAACCCGGCACTTTGGGAAGTCAAGTTGAGAAAATCGCTTGAGCCCAAGAGTTCAAGGCTGCAGTGGAGCCATGATTGAACCACTGAACTCCAGCCTGGGCAACAGAGCAAGACCCTGTCTCTTAAAAAAAAAATGGTGATACATTTGGGTTGAAACATTGACTATTTTTTCACTCATCTGTTTTGTCTGAACAAGACCACACAAGTGGATAGTCTGTGGCAAAAATTGGATAATTCCTCTCCCCTGCTCAAAACCCTCCAAAATATTTCTCATCACACTTAGTAAAATAACCGAACTCCTTACCATGACTCACAAAGTCCTGTCTGATCAGTCCTTTAGTTCCTCTCTGGTCTCATTTCCTGCCCTTCCTACCTCACTCTGAGGGAGCCCAGCATCAGCCACACTGGCCTCCTTACTGTTCCTCACTCGAACCAAACACTCTCCCACCTTAGGGCTTTGGCTTTTGCAGTGCTCTCAGCACTGAATGCTCTTCCACCATATCCTTCCATTGTTTTATCACATATCCTGTTATGGCAGGAACTCCCTAATTTCATTCAGTTTTCTGCTAAGAAAGCCTACCCTGCCATCCTTTGTAAGATAGCACACCCTTGTCCTTCCCTTCTTTTTTTAAAAAATCACTTATCACCACCTCACTTCATATTATATATTGACTGCTTTTATGTTTCACTCCAGGGCTTTCTAGAATGTAAGCTTGAGAGCAGCAAGAACTTTTTACTACTCAATTCCAAGTATCTGAAACAGTGACTTGCTGATAGCTCTTATACAAATATATGCTTAATGAATAAATAAATGAATGAAATGAATGGACTTGTCAGTGTAAGAACTGATTTTAGTGATTCTTAAACTAAACCATGCTTTATTCAAAAGAGCTGCAACTATCCAGATAAGCCTTGAATATTCGTATTATAAATTCTATTTGAAGATGCTTACAAACTTTAGAGGAGATGTCATTTAAGCTCATGTTATTAGGGTTTCCCAGGTAATGTTCTCTTTGCATTGTTCTGAGTTGATATATCATGGGTGATGCAACCTATGTGGGTTTCTACATTGTAGGCCAGTCCCTGAGGGATCAATTTGGTAAACATGAAAAGAGAAAGTTTTCCCTAGAGGAAGCAGTATTTACAGCAACAACCATAGAAAAATGTTAAAGGACATAATCGTTAATCTTAGATCTACTTCTTGTACATTCTTCCCTGGTAATTCATTCATCAGTATTCTATTTAAAATATTGATATTGCTTGCATCTATACTCAGGTATTTAGTGAAGATGAAATGTTATAACACTATTTTGCAAAGGTTTGAAACAAACAATAATTATATGCTTTGAGTCAATTGGGCATCTCTGTAATGAAATTGTGAAAACAAACACCAGTTCAAGTGTGCAATGGGTGAATGCAACTTCTGCCCATTAAAAATAGGTTCCAGGGCCAGGCGCGGTGGCTCAAGCCTGTAATCCCAGCACTTTGGGAGGCCAAGGTGGGTGGATCACGAGGTCAAGAGATCGAGACCATCCTGGTCAACATGGTTAAACCCCGTCTCTACTAAAAATACAAATAATTAGCTGGGCTTGGTGGCGCGTGCCTGTAATCCCAGCTACTTGGAAGGCTGAGGCAGGAGAATTGCCTGAACCCAGGAGGCGGAGGTTGCGGTGAGCCGAGATCACGCCATTGCACTCCAGCCTGGGTAACAAGAGCAAAACTCTGTCTCAAAAAAAAAAAAAAAAAAAAAAAAAAAAGTAGGTTCCAGGCTAGATCCTAAGTGCCACTTATCTGTGCCTCTCACAGCAAGGCTTCAAGGCATTATATTCCAGCAGAAATAAAATGCAAGCCACATCTGTAATTTAAAATTTTCTAGTAGTAACATTTTAAAAGGTGAAAAGAAACAAATGAAACAAGTGAAACTAAACAATATATTTTATTTAATGCAATATATTCACAATGTTGTTTCAACATGAAAGTAAACAATGGGCTATTTTACATTTTTGTACTAAATATTTTAAGTCCTGTATTTTACACTCACAGCACATCTCAATTCAGATGCTAAATTTTAATAATTACAGTGAAATGTAATCCTACCAAAACAGTACAATTTTGCTTAATGGAGAAGTATTTTGCACCATTTCAGTTATTAAATGTAGACTCAAACTAGTTACAATAAAATAAAAAATGCAGTTTCTCAGTTGCACTCACTAGATGCATTTCAGGTGCTTCCAAGCCACCTGACTACCATGCTTGTTGGCGTAAATATCCAGCATCAGCTGTGGGCTCTCAGGCCTCACCCTAGAATCAGATTGTACATTTTAATAAGATTCCCAGGTGACTGCTCTGCACATTAAAATTTGAGAAGCACCATTACAGACCACTTTCATGGTTTTCTCTTTAACATCATTAATACTACCATAGTTCAAGCTTTATCGCCTTTAGCTGCACGATTATAATTGCCTCTTAATTAGGCTCTCACCTCCAATCCTGATTAATCTTCTGGAAACACTGCTCAAAGACAATAAATGGTTCCCTTAGTCCTTACTTGCCTTGGTTACCAGGTCCTCTACAACATGGCCATGAACGTGACTTGACCTCATTTCATTCACTAAACACCTCCAGTAACAAGAATCATGCTGAGATTTCCATTCTTCCATTAAATACTTGTCATGTGCTATGTGGTGGGTAAATAAACATGAATAAAATCCGGTTCTTGGTCTAAATTAAATTGATATAAATAAAATCTGATTCCTAACAATCAGGCTGCAAGGGATGTGGGAATGTATTTAAACATTACTAATTATAATATATTGTTAAAATAGAATTATCCTCAAAGTGCCACAGGCACAGGAAGGCAGGAATGATTCATTCTTAAGGAGAACTGAGGAGTAGGAGAGGGGGGTGGAGAAGGTTTCAGAAAAGAGAGAAGACTTGAGAACTTGTATATATAGAAGCTTGCCTACAACAGAAGAAAGGGAAAGGCATTCCAGCCTCAGAAAACAACACCATAAGTGCTTAGAGTATGAAATGGTATGGTGTATGACATAGTTTGAATATATGTCCCCACCAAATCTCATGTTGAATTGTAATCCGCAATGTGGAAGGTATTTGGGGCATGGGGGAAGATGATCCCTCATGGGCTGGTGCTGTCCTCATGACAGTGAGTTCTCTTGGGACCTGATTAAGTGTGTGGCATCTCCCTGCCACTCTCTCTCACTCTTGCTTTTGCCATGTGACATGCCTACCTGCTCTGGCCTAGCCTTTTGCTCTGAGTAAAAGCTCCCTGCAGCCTTCCCAGAAGTTGACCCGATGTTGGCACCATGTTTGTACAGCCTGCAGAATCAGGAGCCAGTTACACCTCTTTTCTTTATAATATAATTACACAGTCTCAGATATTTCTTTATAGCAATGCAAGAATGGCCTACTACAGTTTATCTTGGGGAAAGTATGTGAGCCACTCAGGGAGTAAATAGAAGGGGAAAAGGTATAATGTTAAAGCATTGGCAGGCCACTTTAAATTTATTGTTAATTTACTTGTACCCAATGTGTTTCCAAAGAAAGAATATCTAAGGCAACTACTAGACGATGAAGCTAAAAACATAAAGTACACTTCAGGTTACACACCCCCCATGAATGCTTTGCAATAATCAAATCAAACTATGTACTAAGCCCTTTAAATTCCCTATAAATGACCCCTCTATGGATTAGGTTTTATTATGAAATATATTAGACATTACAAAGAGTATATAAGATAGTTTAAAGAATAATAAACACGAACATTCATGAGCCTATCACTAACTACCTTAGCCTTAGATAGTCTACCTGTTTCCTTCCCAGATCCACTTCTTCTTCCTCCCCACCCCAGATAAGCAGAATCCTGAATTTTGTATTAATCATTTATGCTTTCCTTTATAGTTTTACTATTTTTGCAAGCTGATTTACACTTGATTTTATACATTAACAAATAAAACTCTGTACTTGCTTCTTTAGCTCCACTTATGCTTTTGGGATTTATTTATATTGATGAATCAAGCTGTAGTTCATTCATTTTTACTACTGTAAAATGTTCCAATGTACTGAACATACCACAACATATTTGTCTCTTCTATTGTTGATAACAATGATAAGAAATGCTACCAAGAATATTCTGGTACATGTCTCCTAGTAAACATGTTCAAGAGCTTCCCTAGGATATATCTGGTGGTAGAGACATTACTTAAAATATTTAACAACATGTATGCGATCAGTGAGAACAGACGTTGGCCATAAACTGTTGATAAGGCTGTACACTAATTTTAACCCTACTACTGGTAGAATTCCTAAGACATAGGAAAGGCATATGTTTCATAACAGAAGCAACTGAATGTATACTCCACCAAGGGAAGTTTGAATTCCCAAAGCTCCATATTCTCACTAAATGTCCAATTTCTTAATTTAAAGAAGAGAATAGTATGAAATGGTTACTCATGTTTTAAACTTGCATTTTCTCGATTGCTAATGGTTTTTCTGTTTATTCAACATTTATGCTGCACTTTGTTTTAGAGTCTACTTTGCTGATATTCATATAACCACAAGACCAGCCCAAATTGGACCTAACCTGTTGAAAAATGTCAAGTTACCTTGTAGGTATAACAGAGCCAAAAACTGCAATTCATACAGCCTGGGCAAGTGCAATAGCAAACTTGTGACCTCTAAACACACCCAGAACCATTGAATCCTCCCTCTGAATCAAGAAGCCTGAACCTGAACACTGGAACTCCTTCAGATGAGCAGGATCTGTTGGCCCAGAAGATACGGAGCTGAAATTTGCCTCAATATACCTTACCATCAATGGCCAGATTGGAAGCCATCCAATTAGACCCTGCCAAGCTAATGTTCCTAAATCTTTTCCCTTGTCCTATGACCCCTTAAGACTTGGCCCAGACATAATGAGAGACACAAATTTGCGCCTGCGTCTGATCTCCTGGATGGCTGGTTTTGCCAAAAAACAAAACAAAACAAAACAACATTTCTTTCCTCAAAAGCCAGTGTCAAACTTACTGGCTTCTGTATACTTTGGGCCAGGAGCCCATTTGCTTGATAACCTAATACAGCTACATCAACTTTATTTTGGTTTGAGTTTGTGGGTATGTATTTTTCCATCCCCTTTCTTCAAAAATATCTGTCTTTAAAATTCAATTGTGTGTCTTTTAGTAATCATCAAGTTGAATTTTATTGTATATTCAGTCAGGAAATATTTTAATTCTTTTTTGGCACATTTAATAGAGTTAGTATATAGTTATGTTATTTTACTATTATTTAGTGGTTCAACTAGATATTTCAACATGAATCCTTGATTTAATAGTTGAATACAAATTCTTACATCCTTACTTCTCAAGAGTTCTACAAGTTTAGTACAATTTAACTCCATTTCCCCCCTCCTTGCCTTTTCTTGTAATTGCTGGCATGCATTGTTGTTGTACATGTATTTTAAATTCCACAAGACATTTCAATTATTCTCTTGAAGAGCCCACATTTGTACTTTGGATTCTGCTGACTTAGAGCTTCATCTGGGAGCTCCTTTACTGCCCCATGGACAGTAGTAACAACCTATTTTGCTGGCATATTCCTGCAAGGTCATCCACCTTGGTGAAGCACTACCCCATCTGGATGGGGATGAGGGTGTTTTCCCTCCATCAAGGAAGGGAGGAGAGAGAGAGATCCCCAAGAAATACAGTTGGGTTCTCTAGGATGAGTCATCTCTTCACTAATTCAGGGGCTGAGGAGCATTTTTACCCTGAAAATTGTGGAATTGTTAGACTTACCAAAGTCCTCATGCTGCCAGACGAAAAGGGGCAGGAGGAAGGGAGAGATGTTGCTAAACCAATAGGCGGAATATATGAAGTAGCCAGCAGGCATACAGCTGAAAGCGGCGAAGACGTGAGTGGCTCAAGTGAATATTGCAGGTGGTCTGCAGGAAGGTCATTGGCTAGGCAGAAGAGTCCCAGAAACAAGGGGCTGTGACAAAGGCAGAGCTAGGGAGGAAGAATTCAAGCAGGGGATGGATATCCCTTGAGGGAATAGATAACAGAGACACCACAGCAAGCCCCCAGAAGCAGCCACAAACTACCTCTGTAAGAGCAGATGTCTGCCACATAGAAGAGTCTTCTAGAGAAATTGAAACCACCAGGCTGCTGTCATGGAAGAAAACCTCTGCCTCCCCCCAGCTCTTTCTCACATCAGTACCACAGGGAAGCACAAGAAAGGAGGAGGGCAGTGCAGCAGACTGTTTCTCCAAAGACGGTTTCCAGGTCAAATGGTGTTGTGCACTGTGACTCATCAAGAAATCAATTTCTCTACCTCTTTGAATCTGGGTTCATCCTGTGACTGCTCTCACTATAGTATTACATAGCAAAAGTAATGCAGTACTAGTTTGGGGTACAGCCTTTAACTGGCTTGGCAGTTTCCACTTCCTGCCTTTTAAAAAGTAGTTGCCTTATAGGGGTGGGGTGGGGGTAGTATAATTTTGCTAAGACCACAATGTTGTGAGAAACAAACCCGAGCCATGAGGAGAGGCTTTGGAGGATGCACCACTGTGTGGGGAGAGGAGAGAGAGATGCCGGAGTTGTGAGAGAAAAAGACTTCTTAGTAGCAGAGTCTTCAGCTTCAAATGTCCCAGTTGACACCACCTTAGATTGTAGACACTGACCAGTGGAGCCCTGTGTGAATTCCTGATCACTAAATCAAGAGTTCAAAACAAGTGGTGTTTTGAGGTCAGGAGATCAAGATCATCCTGGCCAACATGGTGAAACCCCGTCTCTACTAAAAATACAAAAATTAACCAGGCATGGTGGCATGTGCCTGTACTGCCAGCTACTCAGGAGGCTGAGGCAGGAGAATTGCTTAAAACTGGGAGGTGGAGGTTGCAGTGAGCCGAGATGGCACCGTTGCACTCCAGCCCGGGCGAAAGAGCCAGACTCTGTCTCAATAAACAAACAAAGTGATTGTTTTAAGCCACTAGTGTGCATGACAGTTTAGCCTTTTTTTCATCTGCCATTCCATTTTCCTTGAACCACGAGTCTTGCCTGTCCAACAGAGAAAAAAAAAATAAAGTTTTAAAAATAATGAAACCAGGTATTTAAAAACAGGAATGAGACTGAATAACCAAAAGTGACCAAGGACACAGAATAAGTCTTCATTGTCTCTCTAAACCTCTAAGCAGAAAAGGGGGCTCAATAGAACACATGTGAGGAGTTACTGGAAAAATAAAAGTCATTTGTATTTATATCCCAAGTGAACTTTTTCAAAAATAAAATCTTATTGTTTCTACATCCTGAAGTGAATCGGGTACTGTATGTCTATCACTTCCAGTGGCTTGCTTCCTTATTCCCACTATATAAATTCTTTTAATCAATTAAAAAATTATATATACAAAAGAAGACATGTAATACATAGGTAAGTTCTGCAACATAATGTAAAATTAATAGCATATCACCCAAGCTAATAACTGAAAGTTACCCAATGCCTCGCTTCTACCTGTGGATTCCTCTCCCACCCCGTCTCATAATGTTACTACAGTGCTCTCCCAAACTATATCTGCTTGTTGCTCCTTTACTTTATA